CGCCGCCCCGCGTCCCCTCAAACGCGCTTTAGCAGCCGCCAAAATAAAGTTGCCGCACGCGGGCAAAACGATTTCCCCGCTCGCGGCCCGAAAACTGCCGTGGGCTGCCAGGCCGGGCCGAGGAGTGCCGCCTTTCAGGTGTCGGCCCTCCCCTGAGGGGCGAGGCCTGCCCTCCGGCCTGCGGGCCTAGAGCGAGCTGCTTCTGTGGGGGTCTTTGGAGGGATGTTACTAAATATGTGTCTCGTTTATAGTCGTTTAGCCCTGAAACGGGCGGTCTGCGTTAGTTAGCTGGTGCGTAACAGGTAGAACTGGCCAAGCAGGTGTTCGCTCTTGCTCTTTTCTTGATTTTGTCTCTATGTCCCCTCAAACTCGAACAGCGGCGCTTTTCAAGTACGCGTCATGACCAGACTAGATAGTTTGGGGTTTTTTTCTAAGAAACTGCAGATGTTGCTGTGTTTTCTCTCGGTTCTTTATTCAGGGGGACGTTAAAGAGTTTAATAGGGCTGCCAGTGGGGTTAAATTCTCAGGCTGGCAAGTCACCCTGTGAAGCGTGTGGCGTCCGTGGCCTCCTTGCTACCAATTGCTTTCCAGAAGAGGAGTCTTTTAAGGGATGCGCTATCTTTATTTTAAGTGAGGAATTATTGAGAGTGGAGAAATTAAGGCCTTTTGAATATTTAACGGAAGGAGGTTTTTCTAAATTATTTAATAGCTTATTATAAAAGATGGCATAAAATGGTTTAGTAATTTATTCTTTACAGAAAGTAGCCGTAAGAATTATTTTACAACATGTAAATATTGGTAGGAAAAGTACCTAATTTAAAATGCTCTCTTATTCCATCTGTCAAAGGAATTATACAGTGCTCATACAATTTCCAAATAACTTTAGACCTTTATTGTTTCTGTTCTTGAAACGCTTCTCTGGCATAGGGAAATGCTGTTTATACCCATTTTACCCAAGCACAGAGGCACAGAGACGGACTGTGCTGGGACTGAGGCGCAGCAGATCTGACCATTGCAATTCCCTTTAGATACCAGAACCCACAGTCTTAGTTCAGGCTCGTGGATGCCCTAAATACTGGCACAGGAGAGTTGTGGGGTCTGGGGCAACTAACGTGCAAAGCAGGAGTTGTTCATGGCCAGCCCATGCATAAATGCTGAGAGCAGAGCCCTTCCCCTCTCCCCCTTCCTTCTTTTCTTTTGCTAGAGATGGAAGTGGGGGTTCAGTTGCTTCCTGGCTAGAGCTCGTTGTATAAAAATGACCCCTTTCTTCATAAGATTGCTTTCCATGGGTAACTTCTGTTCAAATCCCTCTTGCGTGAATTAACCCTGCTGTGCTGACATCAAGGACTTCATCCACGAAATTCCAGTTGTTGTCAGACGTATCGGCACCTCTTGGGAGGTGACGCTGATTTTTATTTTGTTTAAAGTGGCACTTGGTTTGCTCGCAGGTGGCCAGTGGGAGGGCTGGTGCCCGCTCGTGGGAGCAGCTGCCCTCGCAGGCCACGCTGCCCCAGCAGAGCTCCTGGCGCAGAAGGTCAGGAGTGATTTGCTTGTTTGTGCAGCCTGCAAATAAGCAGCTCTGCTTTCCAAAGTAACGCTGCGCCCTGAGATGAGGCAGGGACCAGCATTAAAACCACCAATCACAAAATATGCACAAAACATGGGTTTCACCGTGAGAAGCCTGGCATTCCTTTTACCGTTATTAACCAGGTGAGCCTCTTGCTTCTGTTCTGATCTCCCTCCTTTCTTGAAATAAAGCTAGCTGAATCTCAGACTTCAGATTGCACTGTAGGAGTTTGCCTTACACTCCCCTCAAACAACCCTATTTTCTTAAGAAATAGCACTGCCTGGAAGGCATCAGAAAGCCCTAGGATACGCTGGTGGCTGTATCATTTGCCGCTTTTGCTGTATCCATTTAATTAGAATGAGTTAGAATAATCAATACTTCCTTGTCTTTTACCAGTGTTTAACATATGTTTACAGAATAGGTTTCACTAAAGTTAGTATTTACCTGTAGATGCATCTACACAAGTTTTTTTTCCCCTCTCTAATAAAAATTATGGAACAGATAAGCACTAAAACCCAAGTTAGTATATTGCAATATTGATTTCTACAAGAGCACTGTAAGGATATATTTATCTATCATCTGTCCTATTATGAAATGGGTAAAAATGTACCACACAACCATTTCAGTCATTCAATACTATATTGAAAAGCCTGTTTGTTTGTTTTTTCTCAAAAAGGTTTCTTTTGAGGCACACGGATTTTTTTTTTTTTATTTTATGTGTATTTGTGGAAGAAAGGATTAATACAGGATGGTAGTGCTTTGTCGTAAGACATCTCTTTGCCCACGTTTTGTTTTGATTAGAACTGCTGCGTTGCGATTTTGGCTTACTCTGAGACTCTCCACATTGGAAAGCGAAGACAGAGTAAAATGTGATTAATTATAGATTGCTGGCCTGGTACCTCTTTAATTCCAGCAATTACTCTATTTTCTCCTGGTGTTCTGAACAGAAAGGAGGTGAGTGTATTGAGCCAGGGGCTTTCCTGTCCTAAGCTTCTGAAAGGAGTCTGCCTACGTGCTTTTATGACCCCAGAGATGCTTTGCTCTCCAATGTGATAGTGTAATTTTGTGTTTCTTAAAAGCAAGTTTCTAATTGATGAAAGGAAGAGTGAAATGAAAAGAGTGCTGGAAGAAGATGAGAAAAGGTTATTGTGATCACTCCGTAGGTGAAGACCACATTATTATTACTCTCACAAATTGCACTGTGTTGTGTTTTCAATAGCAGAAGGTCAAGTTGAGCCCAGGGATAGAAGTGAGAGAACAAATATAAACAATAAAAGCAAAGAGACTTGAATGTCTGTGAAATGGAGTGTTTGAGCTCATTATTCTGTGGAACGTGTGTCAGTACTGCTGCAAAAGTGTCTCCATATAGCGACTTCAAAGCGTAGCTTCTGGGTATAGGTGGGCTGGGTCTGAGATGTGATGCTGGAAGCAAGTAGAGACAAAAGTGTCAGAGAGTGCTATAATGCATTGATCACACAGACACGATCCTATGGATGAGACCCTACAGACCCTCTGGTCCTGAGGCAGCCAGACTCCGAGGGTGTTGGCCAAATCTTTATGAAGACAATCAAAGGTTTTCCCCGTCTTCAATAATCTCTGGTTCAAACTGTTGGAGGTTTCAAGTAAGCATGTGGAAATCTGTTTGCGCTGTGGTGGTGTCTTAGACCTAACAGCTTTCACAGTGGTTGGGTGGCGAGAGGGCACGTGATTATAAGGACAGAGTGAGCTGCGCACATTATGTTTGTAATTTCTAGTATAGCGAACTCTGCCTTTATTTGATGTAGTGGTATTTCAGAGCTGCCTTATCACAGTTTCTCTGTGTTCTTGGAAACAAGTGAAAAGAGCAATATGACTGCTGTCGTTTGCCTTGGATTACACTGTAGATGGCACTGTGAAACAATGATTTTGGTAACGAAGATCTATTTCACAGCACCATTCCAGACGTTAATTGCAGTGTAATATGGCTTTCTTTCTAGGTCCCCAAAGTGAAGGAAAAATTCTGAAATGCAGAAAGGCTTATTTGCTGCCGCAAATGGGAATCTGGAATAACTATGAAAAACACACTGAAATAATTGTGTTTGACTGGAACAAAATTCTTGCAAAGTCCCCAAGGTAAGAGCACTTTTTATCTTTCAAATGACACTGAAGATTTGCTGTTCTGGTTAGCAACAATATCCACTTGAATCCAACAGAGAATGAAGGCTTGACATTTCTGAAAGCGGCAGCCCACTGACGCTGAAGGGCTCAGCACCCCTTGCTGCATCTGTCTGCCAAACTTCATTTTTTCCCCGCCTTTTTAAAGATCCTCTTGTATTTCTTTATATTAGCAGGCTGAAGACTTGTGTCCTGTCTACCTGCAAGGCAGACTACAGTTTGCAAATGTTGTATCATTTTAATGGTACTGGATGCTTTTAGCAGCCTTTCAGTTTGGATATAACTAAGTTGAAGCTTTGTAGTGATACACTTATTCCTGGACTTGAATATACTTACAAAGGGGTAAGGTTACCCTGTTAACCTGATGAAACCTGGTTTCACATTCCCTGTCTAACGTCAGGGCCATGGCTTCAAAAGAGTCAAACTCATAAGCTGGGAAAACTTTTGAAATAGGTCAGCACACAACCATTTCCACTGAGACCAGCTTTGCTCCTGCACTGGGAATGGTGGGAACACCTGGGTTCGCTTACATGCTGAAATAGCAGCTGTTGAGCATGCGGTGCATGATTTTTGACTAAATACCTGTCCCTTCCATCAACTCACACCGGAAAGGACATGCTCAAAATGTCTAATCTGTGGTATTTAATTCCGAGGGTTAAATCCTGCTTTCAGTCACACCTCAGGAAACCTGAAGGAAGGTCCCTGTCTCCATTATGGTACTACAGAGTGACACCAGAGCTGGAGTCTCCACTGATACTTGGATCAGATTCCCGTGTTTGCATTTAGAGCACAGAGGGATGGTATTGCAAGACGAGCAGATGATGACTTCCTATTTAGTGGTAACTGGTGTGTGAGGTGTAAGCTGTGTGTTTCTCATGGAGAGAGTGAGAAAACTAAGGTTAAATTCAGCTCTCTCCTCAAGAAAAGGAGGTTCAGTTACCTGGGGAAGATTTGGGTGACTAAAATCTGAAATGGTAGGTTGATTTCAAAGCCTACTGGGCAGTTTCCTTAGACTAATATTGGATCAACAGCAATAATAACATTTATGCTGTTTTCACAGTGACTCAATCCCATTAGCTGCAGTAGCATTATGTGGTTCAGCTGGGTGCAGGAGGTGAATTAGGTCCATGCTTATTAGCTGAAGTGTAGCTGCTCTGAATTAGCCTGGGAGTGCTCTGTAAGAGGATACTTGTAGGGTAGGCAAGGTCTAGTGACGTCTTTATCTTCTGAGTTTGATTCATGCTTGCAGAAGACTCCTATATACTGCTGCAAAAGAGCCTCAGTGCGTTTCTTCCTGTACTGGTTCACTTGCATTCAGGGTGGCAACATATTGGGCTCAAAACAGAGCGCCTTCTTAACGCAAGGGAAGGTATCTTTTTGCCAAATCAGTCCTTAAAATGCTGCTTATTTACATGTAATTTTTTTTCTTAAATCTGTAGACATGGTGAATTATTTTTTAGCAATATTTGTGTAGCTTTTTAAAAAAGCTTGTAGGCTGGAGTAAAGTCTACAAGGACAGCTGAAGGTGCTGGGCTCTTCACCAATGTGTTGGTTTTTTTTTTTCCCAAGTGTAAAATAGTGTTTGTTGCTAAAATATATTTACATACAACAGGCTTTTGGTCTCTTAACTTCTGATATTAATAGATGCATTTGTGATTTGTTTGGGCTTTATCAACATTCCCATTCATACACAATGAGAGAACACAATTGTTTTGTGATGTGCGAAAGGGAAAATTATGCAGGTACTTTTAAATGAGAAAACATGGGATCTGTTTAGTTTCATTTGTAGATGGTTATCAAAATTTAAAGAGGACCAAAGTGCTTCACCTGGCTTTGACAGTAGAGCTGTCTAAGGCATGAGTTTTTAGGTTTGGTTTTTTTTTTTTTTTTAGATTATCAGTCTATTCAGCACTTGAATATTGGATTAGCTGAATAGTCTCAGGTATTTTAAAGATATACAGATAAATTTATTTAGAAAATACTTGGAAGAATCAGAACTGGAATCTGCAGGGGAAGGAAGTTCTCAAAGGACTTTTTGGTGCAAGGTGCAAATAAGCATGCTTATTATAGGCTTGCCCAAATCCCAGCATGCTGATTAACTGCAGACTAACGTCACTGCTATGAAAGCAATATTTAGTTCAATTTATGCAAATCTATAAATTGCCTTTAATTAATTTGATGTATGCCTGCTTACAGCATTTGCTGAAAGTGTGGAACATATCTAAGGGTTTGAGTGCATAATGCCCATTTATGTATCGCACAAGTAATAAATCATCATAACTGAGTTTAAGAAAATGATTAGATTACCTTTCTATATGATGAATGGCATAACATAAGCTATTGAGGGATTTAATTGTAGATATTTGCAGCAAAATTACTGAGGATTCGTGGTGTTAGTTCTAACACTAACATGAATAAGACTAACAACATCCACCTTCTTTATAACAACTGTTTTCCGAAATGCAGTTTCTGACACCCTGGCAGAGCAGTGAGTCCTTGCATATTTGACTGAGGTGCTGGTTTCATGAGTGTTTAACCCTCAGCAAACTTACTGATCTCCAGGAAAGCTAGCAGATGTGTGCTTGGGAGATCCAGCCAATTCATGTGCCATGGCTACATGGGAGTTGGTAGCTTTAGCAAATATGTCCTGAGAAGTATTAGCAAAATGTCCTTTTTACTTGTGATGTTCCTATGATTTTGAGGCAGGTGCAGTTTAAAAATAGTAGCATGCCTTATAAATACATATATTTAAATTTGAGTGTGGATGGATCTTAATCCAAAAAAACTCCACACCAACCCCTTATCTCAGATTCATAGAAATGTATTGCACTCCTAATGTGGTGTTATAAACATGTCTTTGTGGGTAATACGATGTGTGATAGCCATTGCATTGCTTCTAATTGTAAAACGTGCTTAACAAAGAATTGACCCCAACCAAACCATGAATATGACTTTGTCAGTGTTACCTTGTAATGAGCCATATTAGTTATTCTTCAGCATCTTTTCAGCTTTTCCTTCCCTGCATCATTTTTATGTTATTCCCTACTCATATTGTTCTTTCACTCACCTGCTTCCTTTTCTGCCTCCAGGATGAGATTCTGTGCCAAATCAATGCTTCTATCTGACTGGCTCTTTCTGGTCTATGTGTTAATGGTCTGCTGTAAATTGTTGTCCGCCTCTAGCCACCATCCCCGGGGGCACACAGGTAGGAGCTTTTAAACTCATTATGTGCGACTAAGACCAATTAATACCACTTGCAGAATGTTACAGCCCACTTTTTAGCAATGGATAATTGATGAGGCTGTTGACAGCGTGTTATAATCAGTGCAATGGGTTAAAATACAACAACAACAAAAAATGAGCTATTGTAAATTTTCATGGTTTTTCTCTAGTAATTTTACGTACACCAGACAGTTTTTGGAGTGACTTCATGACTGCTAGGACTTTGGGATTTGTTTGTGTCCTTTTGCTTTATCCTTTTCCAAAGATACTCTGAAATGGATCTTTATCTTCTCCCTCTTAATCCAGTTGTTATCAAGAGACTTTACAACGGTATCATTGGCTTTGGTGGGCAATAGATCAAAGCCCTCAGACTTATGTTAGCCAGTTCTTTCACTAAGTTACACAAGTACTGAACTGTGGTTTAGTTCAGCTTGTGGTATGCTCCTTCTTTTCCTAACCTGCATAGTGAGGCAAACAGAAAGATACTGCGTTTAAGAGAATGCGCTATTGTAGTAGGGTATATCTACCAGGCACAATGTACTATCTTATATAAATGACAGAAATAGCTCAGAACAAGCTGGGTTGGCTTCATGAAGAGATACCAGACTGGATCTTCGAAGCAACATCTCTGTGCTAGAATCGTGCAGACACATCAGCTGGAATGCAGAAATAAATATGGATGTGCTAATGCAAAGATATCAGTGCAAGTCCTAAATCTGGATAGCTGAGTCAGCCCTGTGTCACCTTTGATCCCAGAAGAGAGAGAGGTAAGTTAACAAAATAACCACCTGTGAGCTCTGCTTTTTAGGAGACATCAAAAGCCTGGCTGCAACATCATGATGAGATGACTGCCTTCTCAGTACCATAGTTAGCTTCATGCTGGCTCGGGGATTTCTGCAAGTGTTGCTAATGTGGTGTAATCTCATTCTTAAATTAGGTGTAATGCCTTAAATACAGATGTAATGTTCTCAGCTCTGAGGCAGACTCTTGTGGGTCCAGGTCTAATGTTAGCATCCACTTCAGCTCAGCTCTAGGAAGCGGGGATGCATTTGATAGAGGCTCCATCCTCCAGATGAGACAACCTATTGATCTCTTTCCTGGCTGTCTCTGGTGATAGTCTAGGTAGGAGCTGAAGGCTCCTCATGTGCTCGCCAAAATCTCTTCAGTCCTGGCAAGCAGGACTGACTCTGACCTACGTATAGCTGCTCTGTCTATCTACGTGCTCATAGCACATCAGCAGTGTGTGTACCTAAGAGCTACACAAACCACCTCCTTGCCTTACCCCATCACCAGCCCTGCGTTCCCTGGTGCTGTGATTTGCTGTAAAACACAGTCACAGGTTATGGAGAATAGCTGACATGTTGCAGCAAAAGCCCATAAAGCAATTCCAGTGAATACAGTGTTAGAGGATGATCCGTATTACCATTTTGCAGGTAGCTGTTATGGAAACTAGTTGAATCACTTCAATGAGGAAGGGGGTCTATGCACAATGACAAGTTAATTAAGCCCTCTTGACCTTTCCTGTAAACAACTGCTGCTTAGCAGAGCATTTCAGAGCTGACTATGCAGCAAAACCTGGAGAACAGCCTTCTGCAGCTTTTGTCATTCAGGGAAGAGTCTTGTAAAAAGAAATGTTATTTTTGTCTTTTAAAGATGCACTTTGCATGTGTACCTAAGGGAAATACCTGTAATAAGGCATTAGTGATCCTATGTTGTGTGCTCGTATGATGAACACTCGTGTTATGTGAATTATGACAATATTTTTAACATAATATTCCAGAATGCTTGACTGCATGCTTTTAATTGACAGTAAGAATTCTTGCATGCTTTTAATTGACAGTAAGAATTCTTTCCCCCGTATCAAAGAGGTGCTGTAAAACACAATCAAGCTGCTCAACTGTTAAGCAAATTTGTGTACAGTGCTTTCTTTGGTAGGCTAAAGAAAGGTTCTGCTCTTCATGAATAGTTTGGTCAGATTATGGAGCTCTTTTTTCAAATAGACAGCCTTGAAGCTGGAGCCTTCATGGACCTTTTTAGACTATGGTGTCATATTCTTCCCCAGACATGAGTTTCTCTTATGTGTACACTGAAGTGACCCCCATCCCACTTTATGATTCCATGTAGAGGTGAAACAGTCACCCCATTTTTGATTCTCCAGCTCCCTGTGTCTGGCATATGGTATCATAGAGCATTTAGAGGGCTTGTGGGGGGCTCTTCTCAAAGGGTCTGTGTTTTCCAGCCTCATCTTATCTTTGCTGTTTGATACAACGCCTAGATTGACCTTCTAATGTATGATCAGATCTGTGATGGAATCTATGTGAGCAAGACAATGCCTTGTTCATCAGGAAAGCAAATAATTTGGAGCTTTTAGCGTGGTCTGTTTTGTGGAAAGCAAATAATTAGCCTCATTTGTTTAATACAAATTAGCATGTTCTTGGATGGCAATTGAGATAAAATTTTTGCAGTCAATAGACAACGTTAACTCTTTTCAAAATAAAATGTCCCGAAGCTCATTAGAGGGATGAATTCAAGCTTTGAGTTTGGCAAAGGCTCTGTCCTGTGTCAGGCAGCTGTAACGTGACAGGTATGCACTGAGGTGCAAAATACATGCTGTTTATGAGGCATGAGGTGCCTAGCCTGGGATACTTTAGGAGGAGCTGGTTTTTGAGAACATGCTGTGTCTGCTCCTGAAAATCAGTGTGTTTCAAGCTATATACTTGACATCACTAGTCACTTTTGGAAAAAATGCTTACTCATTAAAGCTAAGAAAGCTTATTAACCAAGAGCAGACAATAGCATTTAAGATGAAAAGTGGGGATTGACTTTTTTCTTTTCAAAATACTACCATTTTTAAGGAGCCTAATTTGGGAAAAGGCAGTTATTGACTTTGGTTGGTCATGTTAGATGGTGCCTGAAAGAATGACAGTTGACAGCTCTCTCTGCAATATTCAGACAGGAACAGAGACTAGATCTTTAAGGACCCAATAACCATCCTGTTTCTGAAAAGTGGGAGAGAGTGCCATTGAGCAATCCCTTTGACAAAAAGGGCCTCTTCACTGTAATAAAGTGTAAGGCAGACCTGGTTCTTTCTTTTGTTCTGCAAAATATTCACCACCATCGAATAACTGTTAGTGGAGAAAAAGACTGTTCAATCTAGCAAGCCAATCCTGCCATTGCTTTGAAGCAGTGTGGGTCTTGAGCCCAGCTTGGAGGCCGCAGCCTATTTTTCATTTGAACACTGTAATTGCTTTGACTGGCAGAGTTAACTAGGCAAAAGGTAGAGGAGAAACGTTCCTTCTCATTACCGTTAGATCACTGAAGATGCTGCTTATGCAGATTATTTCAGCAGGCTCCCTTTATATCTAAGTAGAGAAGACACTTCAGAATATTCATCTGACTTTGTTGCTCTGAATTACTCTTCTGAAGAGTTTGTCTTTTGCAGTGACAATAGCTGAGGGAAGCATGAGCACCAGCCTTACTATAGCTATTTAAAATTGGGCAGTATTTCAGGCTCCCAGAGTACCTAACTGATACCGATATAACTATCAATTCCATGCTGTGCTGAATGAAGCCACATACATTTAGTACCAGAAAATATTTGTTTTCACCTCACTGCTATAAGTCAGGATCCACGAATGATGAAGCATTGAAAAGACACTTCCTCAGGTCACCTCATGTGGGGGCTGGACTTGCAGACCGTTAATTGATACAGCCAGCTGAGCAGTTTCTGTCATGAATTACCAGTGCAGCTTGGCTTTTTTGAGGATGCTGTGTTTTATTTTTATGTGATGATGCTCACCTGAAATGCTTCCGGCCTCCTTCTGCTTGCTGAAGGGTCTAGATTTTTGGAAAGTCCGTTATTATTAACATACCCAGAATCCATATATTTAATAGACATCTGTAGCTTAAAGCAGGGCCAAATTTGCCTCTGAATTGTCCTACACGGTTCACATTTTCTCTTTCCTTTGTGATTTCAAGTGAAGACTTCAGTGGTAGCCCTAATGGTTTGCTTGCTTACAGCACCTGCAGGATGATGCAGATCTTGGGGATAAATCACTGTGTTTGAGTGCACTGGGACAGCTTTGTCTTTTAGCCAACTGGAGGAATAAGTAGCAACTTCTTTTCATGGAGTTTATTCCTTGTTGCACTGCAGACAGTTTAATTTACAGGGTTATCAGGTGTTAAATGGGAGAAGTCTTGTTAAAAATGGCAGTGGCAAGCAAATATGCATGACCTTAGATATTGGGAAGTGGGTTCAGGAGGGAATTATCACCAGACTGAGCTGTTGTAAACTCTACATCTTTGCTTAGTGAAATGCAGCTGAAAATTTGTAATTTGCTACCCGGCATCTCAGATGTGATCTCCAGCAACCAGGATGCTGTCCTAGCTGGTTTTCAGGTGACCGGTGACTTCCATCACATGTGAAAGATGAGCTTCTCTTCTAGACTCTGCTGAGCAGGGCCTGAACTGGGACCTGAGATAATTTTCTGGGATTCCACGAGTGTTCTCCTTTGTTTTCTTCTGATTGATGCTTGAACAGGGAGAGACAGATGTATGGAAAGGCTCGGCTTATGTAGGAGCAATCTGAGTGAATAATGCAGCAGTGCTCTTGATGCAGAAGACAAAGGCTCTCCTCGCTGCTGCTCCCTTTCTGCCCTTGCTATGGCTCACGGAAAGCAGTCTTTTTCGGAACGTGTCTGTCTCTCTTCTTTTTTTTGTCCTTCTTTGGTTGCTCTCTGAGGAGGTGCTGGTCTAACCTATCAGTAGGATGGTCAAAGTTACTTGTTTGTCACAGAAACAGACCTCCTGTCATTTGGTAGTGGCAAGTATTGTATGTACATGGACCCGAGGCAAAGATCTACCCTTGATGGACAGCAAACCAGACCAGCTGAAGGCAGTACAGATGGTATGTGTTGAACTAGGTGTTTAATAATTCTTTTCTGTGTCCCAAACGGCAAAGAGAAGTCAGTACCCTGAAGGAGT